GAATTGTGATAGGTAAGTAAGCTGTAAAGTTGATACTATTAGCAAAATAATCAAGTAGTATTATTTTGTCCTGTCTCCAGACAAACTCTCGTCCACCACTGACGCCACCGAATCCACATACGTAATGACATTTTATTCATTCTAGAGTATATATCAAGTTTCTATGTTATTTACATAGTTTATTAAGTCACATCAGATGAATTGTGATAGGTAAATAAGCTGTATAGATGACATTGGCGAAATATTGAAGTATCTTGTAGTGCCTCCTGAGAGCCGGAATGGATTAATTACATTTCAATTAATTTAAATGGGGGAAAACTGACTCTGCAAATAAGCAAATCCACGGAATGGATTAAACTCCTAAGTAGAGGTCGCACTGTAATCCATTCCAGACACCCAAAAGTATCAACAAAAAATACATTTGAGAGTATAACTATAGTTTTACATAAAGAAAACAATGAGAAATAAATATAAAGGACTAATGAAATGGATAAATGAACATTTAACATCACTTTTACCTTTATTGAAAACTCTTTGTTGGCGTATGAATGACGGTGAGGAGAGAAGAGGGAGGAGAGGTTATCTCTACCATCATCACTACCACCCTCTACCATAATCACTACCATCCTCTACAGATGAGAAACAAAGCCAGACTGACTCAGAACACATGGGATGCTTTGTGTGGGTGTGGGTGGACACATTTGGTATGGCAGACCAATGTCAACTCAACGAAAACCGAGGTGATGAACGAAAACTGGGACCAAAATCTTGACAAAAAAAGCAGTTGAAAACCGAATTCGATGAAAAACAGGGCAAACGAAACCCGAGGTTCCACTGTACTCCAATTTTTTACCCTAAAGTTTTCCAAATTTTAAAATGCCTGCCTTCCATTTTCCCAGAATTCATGTTTACATTGCTAACCCTTCAACAGTATTCCAATACTATTCCACCCACTTCAGTCTAACGCAAGCACACACATGCTGAATATCCCAATTCCTACTTCTCACTATCTCTTTCCAGTTCTTATTTGGAGTGCTCCTTGACAAACCTGGATAGAATATCTATTTTTTTTTTCAATGGATATCTAATAAGTGTACTGACTTATAGCCCTAATTTGCTCTCCAATTCATCCTTACTTTTTCAAAAGTTTCCCTCTTATGTTAAAAATACTTGTTTTCCTAGCCAGCTTGAGTGGACACAAGCTACTTATTGCTGGTAATATGAAGCCAAATAAAAATATATTAGTTTCATAATTCAATGCTTTAAAAGTTGTATCTCTGGATGAATATAAGTAATCTAGTAACCATTGTGCAATCATGACAGTTCTAAATATGTATAGTTAAAGTATGACAAATGCAACTTACTGCTGTAATTTGGCCACCAGGAAGAAGGAAATTAGCTGTATGACTTTCAACGGTGGGTTCCTTTGGGATTGGCCGCTTTCCCAGTGCCATGGACACAATTGCTGTCATGTGGGTCTCATTTCCAAAAACATTGACCGGAATTCCCAGTGTCATCCCCACCTCCCGCATAACACTGGAAAAAGTCGAGTACATGATATTAAATGTCTCATACAAACTACACAAATAACACTTAAGTATTTTATAAGCACTGTATATGCAACAGTAAACCAAGTTCTAAAAACTCATCTTATTTTCTAAATCATTAATTCCCTCACATTTCATTTTCTTTATTTTTTTTTTTTCCCCTTCTTTTAAAATTTCCCCAATTTTTTTAAAACCAAAGGCAGGGGGGACCCTAAAATTTGAAAAAAAAAAAGGTTTCTTTTAAATTTAAAAGTAATTTTAATTAAAGGGGTTAATTTAGCCCTTGTGGTTTTTCAGTCGTTTTTTAAATAATGTATTAGGAAGGAAAGAATTTGCCTTAAAATTTCCAAAAAAAAAAATTTGGGAAAAAATTTCAATTTTTAATTCCGTTTCCCGGGATAACTTTTAATTAAATCTTTTCCAAAAAAACCCCTTCCGGGTTTGTTTCATCCCCCCTAGCAAAAAAACCCGGGAAAAAAACCAAGTACATATAAAAATTTTTTTTTTTTTTTAAACAAACTCCCTTTTTAATTTAAATTTTTTAAAAGGGGTTATCCCCCCTTTCCAAATTTTAAAATTCTTTATTTTTCTAAAAAAAACCCCAAAAAACTTTTTTCTTTAATTTTTTTTTTTTTTTTAAAAAATTGGCCATTCCAAAACAAAAAAAAAAAAATTTTTCTTTTTTTTAAAAGGAAATTGGGTTGGGACAGCCCCCCCGGGGATTTACTTTTTTTACTCCCAAGTGGGGGGGAAAAAAACCTTTTATTTGTTTTAAAAAATTTGGTTTTGCTTTTTTTTTTTTTTTTTTTTGGGTTTGTTCAAAAATTGGAAAATAAAAAGTCTGGTACTTTCCAAACTTTTGGTAATATTTTTACAAACCCCCTTTTTTTAAATTTATTTTTATACCCCCTTTTCCTTTTTGTGTTTTCTTGTTTTTCAAAAAGGGGGCCTTATTTCCCCTTTTCCTTTTTTTATGGGGGAAATAAAAAAATTTTCCCGAATATCGTTTTTTAAAATTTTTTAATTAAAAACCCAACCCAAAGGGCCTAGTCCCCTTTTCGTAAGAATAAAGAAAAAAGGGTTTTTTGGTTTAAGGGGAAAAAAGGAAATTGCTTTTTTTTTTTTTTTGTCAAAAATTTTAAAAAGAAAGAATAAAAGTTTTGTTTGGAAAACTTTTTTCCCTTGGTAAATAAAAACAATTTAATAAATTTCATTTGGAGGTTTTAAAGGGGGTTTTGGTCAATTTTTTTTTAATGGGGGAATTTGGATAAAAAATTTCCCAATAAGGGTTTAAAAAGGAATAAAAGGGCCGGGAAAAAGGGCCAAAAATTTTTAAAAAAGGTTTATAAAAAAATAAAAAGGGTTGGGTTAAAAGTGGGAATTTAAGGGGTTATGCCAAAAATTTAAAGGAAAGAGGAAAAGAGAGAAGGGGGAAGAAGGGTTTGGATTGAAAAAAAAAGGAAGGGGGAAAAGAGGGGGGGGAGAAAGAGGGGAGGGAGGAAAAAGGTTTGGGAAGGGGAAATAGGAGAGTAAAGAAGGAGTAGAAAAATTTGAAGGAAGATAGGGGGAAAGGGGGGAAAAAGTTTTTAAAAAAGGGGTTTTTAGATATTAAAAAGGGGAAAATTTGGAAAGGGGATGGGAATTTTTTTAGAAAAAACCCAAACCCAAAAAAAAAGAGAGAGAGAGAGAGGGGGTTTGAGGAAGGGAGAGAGATGAGGGGTAGGGGGGAAGGGAAAAGGAGGAAGACGAAGAGGGGAGGGGAGAGATGAAGAGGAGAAGAGAGAGAGAAGGGGAGAAAGGGGAAGAGAAGAGAGAAAAGGAGAGGGGATAGAGAGATAGGAGAAGAAGAAGAGAAGATTAGGAGATAGAGGATAGGAGATAAGAGATAGAGAGTGAGAGAGAGAAGAGAGATAGAGAAAATTAGAGAGATAGGGAGATAGAGGTTAGGAGAAGAAGAGAAAAGAGGGGAGAAGGGGAGAGAGAGAGAAGAAGGGATAGAAAATTAGGGGAGAAGGGGAAAAGGATAGAGGATAGAGAAAATAGAGGGGAGAAAAGAAGAGAGATAGAGAGATAGAGGGTAGAGAGAGATAGAGAGGGAAGGAGAGAGAGAGAGAGAGAGGAGAGAAGAGAGAGGAGAGGAGGGGGAAGATAGAGATAGAGAGAGAGAAGAGAAGGATAGAGAAGGGGAGAAAAGGGGAGAGAGAGAGATTAGAGAGAGAAAAGAAGGGGAGGAAAAGGGGAGAGAAAATAGAGAAAAGATAGAGAGAGAAAAAATAGAAAAGGTTTGGTTTAGAGAGAGATAAAAGGAAGATAGAGGGGAGAAGAAGAAGATAGAGAGAGAGAGAAGGAAGAAGTAGGAGTTTAGAGAAGAAAAGGATAGAAGGAGATAGAGAGAGAAGATAGAGAGAGAAGGAAGAGGAAGAAGAGAAGAGAGAAAAGGGAGTTTAGAAGAAGAAGGAGAAGATTAGAGAGAGAAAAGGGGAAAAGGGGATAGAGAGAGATAAAAATAGAGAAAAGAGGAGATTAGAGATAGGGGGATGATGAGATAGAAGAGATAAAAGGAAAATAGAGAGAAAAGAAAAATAGAGAAGATAGAGAGGGGAAGGGGATTAGAAGGGGGATTGAGGGGAAAAAAAAATTTTTAAAGAAAAAAAAAAAAATAAAAAAATTTAATAAGCAAAAATTTAAAATAGAAAATTTTTTGGGGTAGGGGTTGGGGGAAGAAGAGGGGGATTAATTGAAGGAGTGTTAAAAGAAAGGAGGAAGTTTGGGGTTTGTGGGGGGTTTTTTTGTTAGATGGGGGAAGTTTTAGTTTTTGGATAAAAAAAGGAATTAAAAGAAATTTAAAGAAAAATTGGGGTTTTTTATTTTTTAAGTTTTTAAATTTGGAAAATTTTTTTTAGGGGAAGGGGGAAAGAAATTTGATGGGGTTGTAAGAGGAATAAAAATGGGGAGAAGGGGGAGTTATTGTTGGGAATAAATTATAAATTTAAAAAAAATTTTTTTTTTTTATTATATTTTAAAAAAAATATAATATATTTTTGGAAAATTTTGGGAAATTGTTGGGGAATGGGGGGGAAAGTTTTAAACCCCGTGTGAGGGTATTTGTGGTTGGGGTTTTAAACCCCCATTTAATTTGGGTAAAAATGTTGTGGAGGGAGTAGTAGGTAAATTTGGGGTCCCGGGGTAAATGTAAAGGGGAAAACCCTTTTAATTGAGAATTTTGTAAAAAGGATTTGGTAAAAAAGTTTTACATTTTTATAAAAAAGAGGATAAAAAAAATTTAAAAGGATGATGTGGGCACGTAATGAAAGTAGTTTGTTAGTTTTTGGGTTTTTGTTTTTTTTTAAACCCAAGTGGGCCCATCTCCCACCGAAGGCAGGGGGGGAACCCAAAAAAGAAAAAACCCCCAAAAAAGAAAATACTTTCACCCTCATTCAAAAACATTCAAAAAACCTTCATTTTGTCCTTTTTTTTGCAGAGGGGCTCAAAATTTACAACAGTTTAGAAGCTTTTAAAAAAAGATACAAAAATTTTTCCCCCCAAAAATTCCCAAATTTCCCCCAAAAACCCCTCCTTTTAAAAGTGCAGGCATTGTTTTCCCCCATTTCAATCCGCCCTTAGAAAAAAAAAAGGGTTTTCCCCTTTGAATCCCTTCATTTAAATATTCCCTACTCCACCCCAACAGTTGTCAGGTCCCAAAAGTACCATTCGTCTCCATTCATCCAAATTAAACCTCTCAAGCACGCTTGTGGAAGCCCAAACCCCCTCCCCCACAAAACTCCTTTACCCCCTCTTCCCAAACCCTTTCGAGGACGACCCTACCCCTTTCCTTCCCTTTCCCCCTTTAAGATTTAAATGCTTTCCTTGTCTTTCTATTTTGTTCCATTCCTTTTTAAAAAGGGAAAAAACCCCCCCCTTTAAAAAACCCCCTTCTCCCCTTTCTGACAAATTGTTTTTATTAATCCACACCTTTTCCAAAATTTCCCACACTCCAAAAATTTTCTGAAAAATTTTTACACCACACATTCCCTTAGACAGGAATTCCAGGCCCCCAAACCCTTTCCCTCGCTTTTTGCATTTACCACCCAAGTTTCCCAAATCCACATAATTTTGTGTTGGTACAAAATTTACTTTCTACTTTCCCCTTTTCTTTGCCTCCTTAGATACGTTTTTTGCCTTCCCCCTTAAAATAAAACGCACACTCCCCTTTTTTTTCCCTCATAAATTCTATGAAAAAAACCTCATCCTTTTTTTAATCCCTTCCCCCGACACGTCAACCCCCAAGTACAGTGGACCCCCCAATAACGTTTCACCTCCGAATGCGCCCAATTATGTAAGGGGTTTTTTTGGGGGTTTACGCGATTTTGGGGGTTAAAAGGGGACTAATCTACTTCACAATTTTCCTTTGGGAACAAATTCGGTCAGTACGGGCACCTAAACATTTTTTTGGGAGTGAAAAAATATCTTTTAATCGAGGGTCCACTTTTTCTGAAACCCATTCACTTTTCCAATTCCTCCCCCCCAATTTGATACCCAAATTTTATCTAAAATTTTGTTCCCCTCTTTCACCTTATTTCTTTTCTATGTTAAACTTTAATTTTCTACCTTTACACACTTTCCCAAAAAACTCATTCCCCCAAATTTTTAAAAAATTTTTTCTTTAGAATCTCCCAAAAGCACAGTTTCATCAGCAAAAGTAACTTTCAATTCCCTTTTTTAAATTTTGTTTTCCCCATAACTTAATCCCCCCTCTCCTGAAACCCTAGCTTTTTCTTTTTTTTAATACCCCATTTAAAAAACATTTTAAAACAAAATGGTGACATTACAAACCCTGTCTAAGCCTACTTTTCCCGGGGAAGTATTTTTCCCTCTCTTCTACACACCCTAACCTGAGCCTCTTTTCCCCTCATAAAAACTCTTTACACCCTTTTTGTAAACTTCCACCTATTCCATATATTTTGCAACATCTCCCACTTTGCTTCTTTTTCCCAAATTTCATTTGCC